TAGCACACCCATCCGGCCTAGCTCCCCGGTCGCTTAGTCACCCAGCATCCTTCACCACATTGGGCTGCATTGGAGGGCCCTGACAATGCTGCGCTAAGAGGCAATGGGACCTAGGTACAGGTGGAGATGAATTCGCATGCTAATTAGAGACTTCCAAAGTTGAAGCCTTCAGTACACACGTGACGTGAGTCACACCAACGGCGCACCCAAAGCACTTCCGAGATTTTCACCACCCGTCTTGACATTTGCTGCAGTGCGCGGTGACAATATGAGCCCGGCAACATCTTACACTCTGCGCCCTCTGGAGCGCAACCCTCCGAGCATTCCCAGTAACGCACTCGAGGGCGGTGCCTTCCGCGTTCATTTATCACAGAAAGAGCTGAAATTGCTGGGGCTTGTCAACGGCGATTGTGTACGACTGAGTACTGCTGCCGGTTTCAAAGGTTATGGAGTGGCCTGGCTAGCCTCGCAGACAAATCCTGGCAACAAGCCAATCGCCAAGGTGTCTGATCTTCTGCGAGAGCAATACGACCTCTCGCTTAATGATCCCGTCTTCATTGAGAAGGTAGACTCCTGGAAGCCTCTCAAATCCATAGAGATCAGTCTCGCAGATGCACCAAATCAAACTGCCAAGTTCAGCTCGAATGAGCAACTTTTGTATTGGCTACGACACACTTTAGGTAGGTCAACGATCATACTTGGCTACTGTTTCTGACAGCTATGTAGCAGTGGACTCTGACATTATTCTTCCGGGATGCAGCTTTCCAGTTCAACAAAAAGGCTTCAAGCAGAAGAGCCAGAAGTTGCGTGTCACCGTGCAGAACATTGATCCGCTGCCAACTGAGAAGTACGCGACATACTTCGACGAACTTACTACTGAAGTCACTACCACGGGTGATATCCCTACTCAGCAGACCCCGAGAGCTTCTAAGCAGATTCTCCAGGTAAGGGGTGATGGCATCGGTGGACTTTCTGCTCACATCACTACGATGAACAGACGCCTCTCTTACCTCACAAACACTCTACCTCATCAACGCGACGTACGCCTTTGTGGACCTACTTCTTTCTTACTACACGGCCCCGAGGGTACAGGCAAAAGTCTTCTACTAGAACGGCTAGCGGAATGCCCATGGCAACAAGTTTACCGAGTAGATCCAGACACGCATCCAAAAGGACAAGCCAAGGCAATATCCGATGCTTTTGAGGACGCTCGTGACAACCAACCGAGCTTGATCATAATGGATAATCTCGACAGGTTTCTCGAAAAAGCTGAGACACTTGTAAACAGGCTGCGGGAAGAGTTGGCCAAGCTGGGCGGTAGCCAAGTGGTCGTCGCAGCAGCAGCGCGTAGCATATACGATGTTGATACCAGACTTCGATCACCGTCAGCTTTCAAAACGAAGCTAGAGCTCTTTCCACCCAACACCACTCAGCGGGAAGATATTCTCCGACAAATTTTGGGCACTACGAGCAAACTTGGAGACCTTGACTTCCCATCGCTGGCAGAGCGCACACACGGTTTCGTCGGACGCGACATCCACGATCTGTGTCTTCTCGCCCGAGACCGACGTGAACAACAGATAGATGAGACTATAAGCGAGGAAGAAAAGACGACCTTTGGAGAGAAGCTAGAGCAAACAGACTATGTTTGTCAGGAAGATTTTGATGCCGTATTCGGAGAGGTACAACCGACGGTCCTCAAAGATAGCATTCTAGAAGTGCCCAAGGTTCGATGGACAGATATCGCTGGTCTGGATCACGTTCGCGCTGTACTTGAAGCCATTACTATTCGCCCATTTAAGGTAAGCTATATTCCTATGTCATCCCTATATCTCCCACGGCCGTGTACGATGCACCCTTAGGCGTTCATCTACTTCTGCAACCAGGCTCAAAGCTAATCGCATCTCCAGTATCCCGACCTCGACATCAAATTCGGCGGCCCTCAATCCCGAAAAGGCGTTCTACTCTATGGCCCCCCCGGTTGCGCAAAGACCCTGATCGCACAAGCCGTTGCAACGGAGAGTAAACAAAACTTCCTCGCAGTCAAAGGCTCTGAACTCATCAAGATGTATGTGGGCGAGTCCGAGCGAGCTATCCGGGATGTATTCCGCAGAGCACGCGCAGCAAAACCGTGCATCATCTTCTTCGACGAAATCGATTCCATCGGCAAGTCGCGCGAAAAAACGCAGGATAGCGGTCTCAATGTCGTTACAACCCTGCTGAACGAGATGGATGGTATTGAAGCACTCAAGGATGTGTTCATCATCGGCGCGACCAATCGGCCTGACATTCTCGACTCGGCGCTCATCCGTACCGGCCGCTTCGACGCACACATCCACATCGGCCTTCCGACTGAAGAAGCGCGGAAGCAGATCCTGCAAATCCATACGCGGAAGAGACCGCTCGCAGAGGACGTCAATCTCGATGTTGTTGCCAAGAAGACAGACGGGAGCAGTGGAGCAGATATCAGTGGGTTGTGCGCCGTCGCTATCGAGTTGGCGATTACGGATTACACAATGGACCCCAATAGCGAGCCGAAAGTTTACATGCGACATTTTGAGCAGGCGCTGCAGCAACACGTCCCACATACCATTGCGGATGAAGCCGAACGGTACAAGAACTGGCGGCCAGGCACGTCGCTGTCGGAGCCATCAAAGTCAGAGAAATAAGCAAATGATGCTGTTAGTCTGTAAGATTGATCGAACTGATCGTGCGCTTCCTCATGTATTTGATCTGAGAAAGCTAGATATAAACACATGCTTTAGACTGTGCGAAGAAAGCTGTTCTGTCAAAATTGCACAATCAAGAGATTCGGAGTACTTTGCTTGTATGATAGATCGGTATAGATCACCGTAAAGGTCTGTATGTTACAACATAGCACACGAAAAGCAAGGGTATCCTCGAATACAAATCCGTAACGCCGTTCTCCCCTGCGCAAACTCGAAGCTCCGGTGTATCTACTTAGCCAGCAAGCTCCGCCTCTTTGAAAATTGGTATGTTAATGTCAAAGTCTTCGTCATAGCCCGCTACTCTACCCAGAATACAATTGGCTTTCTTTTGTGCCTGCTCGCTCATGTCCGCCACATGCGTGAGAGCGATATGGTTCATAAGTGTTTCCACACCACCGTAAACGCCCGTGACTTTGTCCTGCCCTGAGCAAAGCAGGCAGCCGAAGTTGTCATCGTTTGAGCTAGGCTCTGCTGCCTTCTTCTTCACGTGTGACTTAGCGAGAAATATCCACCTGAAGAGTGGGAGACGAAGTCAGCATATTTCTCACATGCTGTTTGAACAAGGACACGCTTACCGATACCGTATCCCGGACATGGAAGTCTTGACACGCGGGTCCACTATCTCGACAGTCTTGTTCTTTTTCGTGGGGTGCGGCTTCGTGAAGACGTCGCCCGTGAAGGTACAATGCTTACACCCCCAAATCTGCTTTGTGTTGTAGTAGCCGCAGGGCTGAGTGCGGACTGTGATACCCTTCTTAAGGTCTTCTCTAACAGCCCAGGCACCCTTGCAAAATCCCCAGTAATCGTTGTCCTTGTTAGGGCGGCCGTTCATCATTCTTTCACCACCTGCTGGTCCGCTTTGAATAGTATCGGATCTGATGTTGTTGCGCATACGGTGGCCTGGAAGGATGCCGATCGGAATAGAGCTGCTGCTGTCGGTTGAGGCGACAGATGGCGTAAAACTAGCATGTCGAGGTCGACTTGTAGCTGGAGAAACTGGCATCAAAGAAGTAGCGGCTGCTGTTGGAGAACTATACAAACCCGCTTGGGAGTTGCCGTTGCTACGTTGGCCGGGTATGCCGCGTTCTGTTGCAGGTGCAATATAATGCTGAGGATGCACTAACTGTCTAAGGCTGGCAAGGTGTCCTTCAGCTGGTGCAGGATATTGCTGTGGCTGCGTATACGGTACGGATGGTGTTTGGGAAAGTGAAGGGGAAGGATCTCGTTGCTGTTGTGATCCAGGCCAAGGCATGTGCGTAGGTGCATTTGCGTCGTTCTTGGGTGTATTGATGGGCGGCGCATGAGGCTGAGGGCGTAAAGGTGCCAGCGGTGCAATGGGAGAAGGTGTATATCTGTCTTCTGGGACCATATAGGGAGAGCTGTATGGTGGAGCACTACGAATCTCATCGTCTTGATCATATGGTGCTACTGGAGGTCGGGCATGTTCACCTTGCGATGAGTTGGAGCTTTTGCGGCCAAGAGAAGCTGTCTTAGACTGCGTAGAGCTAGAGGTATCCGACCATCGAGGATGTAGTGTATGCGTTCCTGTCTGGTGAAATGAACTACTTGCGGGATGCGGTTGATTGTAGACATGCTGCTCCTTTGTCGGCCTGACGATATTCACTTGACCGGAAGCCAATGGTGAATCATGGGAACGCTCATTCAGGCTTCTATCCAGCTCTTGCATTGATTCAGTATATGCGTCTCGGTCATTGAGCGTGGTCAGCGTATCTCGGCGGGTGGGATGGGCACCACTATGCCTGTGGGGTTTCCCTAGTCTTGACTCGTTTTCGACGTTAAGGCCTTGATAAGAGCTAATCATGTGCTGGATATCATTCATAATCGATGCGCGGTCTTCAGGGCGAAGTCTGTCCAGAGCTAGAATGACAGGCTCCGCAGCTTGAGCAGGGGTATAGGCCGGTCGAGATGCTCTCGGCGTGTCTTTGGGCCGGCAATAGTCGGGCAGACTGTGTCCAGTATAACCGAAATCGTTCTGCGATTGAAAGCTTGCGGTCGGATAGCTATCTGACAGTGAACGTATCTGGCCATGCCTCGAGTCACTTGATATGTCCTTGTAGTTCTCACCGACCGCCCTCAACGGTCGCACCATCGGCTTTGCTATGTAAATTCTTTGTTTCAGCTCGTCCAATGTCGTCAGAGTCTCGTTTCGGTTCGTAATGGAGGCTTCGTGGAGGACATGCAGATTAAGCACGCAAACTTCGCTGGAGGCTCAACGTTAGCTCTATCCCGATATGCCAAACATCCGGACACTCACTTCGTAGCGGCTTGCCGTAAGCTGTTGATTATTTCGGCCTGCAGCATGAAGCCTATATGGTAGAGACGTTCCCGTGCGGTATCTGTGCGCATGTCTTAATTCTCAAGTCCACTATACGAACCTGTCTCGTAGAACTTACCATCACCAATGCGCACATAGTCACCCAACTCTCTCTGATCTTGCTTATATCTCTGATCGATCTGTTTTTCCCCAGCGATAAGAGAAGCTTGTAGCTGCTCCTCTTCCCATTCTTGCTGACCTTGATCGCGGGCTTTACGGGCGCGGCGTTTCTGCTTGACAAGCTTGAGGAGCTCTGATCCACCGTGGAACGCGGAAACAACAGCAGACACTGCTGCGACGATCTGAGTAATTGTAAGCAAAAGTCAGAAGAGGAGACTTGTATTTTTGGCCGAGGTCGCGTGCGCACACCTGCAGAAGAATATTGGGGGCATAAAAGAGTAGACCTACTTCAAGACCGGACATTCTCGATAACGAGTTATGGTCCCTCGAAGGCAGCCGTTTTGCTTTGCTGGCTGGCTAGATAGCGCTCCCAGATCGTGTTGAGACCATCAGTGCGAAGCCTTCCAATGGTTTCTGTTGCTGGTTCTCGTTGGATCGAGGATGATTGAGCCTGAGCAGGCTGAAAACCGAGTGTCTCGACTGATCCTCGGATTTAGGGCTGAATAGGCTTGCGATAGACACCAACTGCGCGCAGTGATGGGCCTTTCTAACACATGCTCAATCAGTACGAGAGGAAGCAGAGCTACACGTAGAGTCGTCGCGTGAGATAATGCGATGGAGGCCGAAGGGGAAGATTGGATAACCAAGCTGGAATAGAACAGATTGATTGTAAAGTGAGAAAGGGAAGTCCCTCAGAAGGCTGAAGGAGGTTCCTTCCCATCGGTACTCCGCCTCGCTCGAGTCTGACTGGGTGGCCTGCGACCGCTATTTACATTAGGCTAAGCCTTTGCTGAGCCAGGCGTAGGCGACAGTATTGCTTGACCGAGGTGCAGCGCTCATTGTGCTATCTAGCGCGGCCGCTCCAATGATGAGTAGCGATGGCTTCAGGCCAGGCGGGCTGTGTGATGCCGTCTAGCCTGGAAGCGAGTGGCATACTGTATCGTAAAGCAGGAAAGGCTTGGCTGGTGGCTTCTTTGCAGCCACATCTCTGACTAGTCCGGCTCTTAATTTGACAGATGCGCTCTGCTGCCAGTATGAGGGCCTATCGTGACGGGTGAGGCTTGAGGCCTGCTGCTCGCCAAGAGGTGGGGGCTGAATGGTGAGGGCCACACCCCGAAAGTTGCTTGAGAGCCGGCCCTCCTTGCAGGATACGAATTCAGCATGTAACTAGGTAGTGTGCGCTGTAGGTCTCGGAGACGAGAGACTGGAGCTCGGTCACTTTGGCTGAAGTCTGCTGGGTGGACGGCAGTGAGATGATGGTGCGCCTGCTTCCGCTCCCGAGCGGGGGTGGCCAGGTGGTTCGCGCCATAGCCACCACGCTTCTCCAAACGGTAGCTGCGACCGTGTGCCATGCCTGCCTACGAAGAGTACGCGCGAGAAGTCTGTGCCAGAACACACTCAACCGAATGCTCATTCTTTCTAGACAGCTTTTCGCAGTACCAGAATACATACCGAAAGCGTTCGCAACCCTGTATACATACGAAACAGCGCCGATGCGATGCATTCTGCCGGTTCACCGGTCGATCCTCTCGGCCCCATTCCAGGAATGTGGGTTTCGGGACGCACAGCGTTCAGCAGGAGCCCAAAACTCATAGGCTCTAGTCAGCGACAAAGGGACAATAAGCGTAGTGATAGGTGTTGAAAGTTCCATTCGCAAACTTGCAGGCCTTCTAGCGGTACTAAAGTCTTTCGCCTAACCCTATCCTTTCACCGACCAGCAGTACGTCTCGAATCATCCCTATCCGCACATGAAGAAGTCCAGGGATATCCTGGAGAATGCAACCAGAACGACCCCCGCTTATAAGAAACAACCCGCATAAACCCAAATGGCACGCGAGTACATTTTGCAACTCTCGGTGTATCAGCGCACAACGCCCTAGTAATACCAAGTCCCGATCGCTAGAAACGCGATTCAACGTAGAAGGACAAACGAAAAAAAGAAGAATGAGATGTTCTCGAAAGTTTATAGAAGTGAATGAAGAGACAAAGCTTATGCATCTTCGAGCTGTACTCTCTGGCTCTTCCGGTTCCTGACTTCCACCATCGTGGGGGTGAGGGCCAATCGATCCACCACACGATCCTCGTGCGGACTCGTCAAAGTGCGAACCACGCCTCTTGGGCTATTCGCTCTGCTGACAGATACACTTCTTGCGACGCCGACCATGGCTTTCGCTGTGCCGACTTCTTCTGTCTTTCCCTCCCTTCTCCTTGCTTGGATCTCAGCTCGCTTCTCACCGAGTCTACTGGCCGAGTGTGGTGGAGTTGACAAGCTCTGCAACCTCTGCAGTGGGGAGGGTGCGTCAAGAGGTGCAGAAGACGGATGCGATGACAGCGCGCTGAGTTTGGTCACCTTCGGCTGCTGTTGCGAGGGCGAGCGGATTAGTGGGGACGACGGCTCGCTGTTGACTGTAAGGGTCTCGCTTTTCAGAGCCCTCACTGGCTTCGTGCAGATCTCCCATTCAGGCTCTCGCTCGTCAAGATGCAACGTAATCGGTTTAGGATGACCGGGTGATGCCTGGGCGACTATGATCGTGATCGATTCGGCCTCAGATTCGAAGCTGCAAATCGAGGTAGGGGTCAATGCTGGCTTCAGGTACGGAGATGCTACAGGCTTCAGCTTGGTAGAATCCATCTGTCTGGTCGTGTTCTCTGTATTCTGAGCGAAAGTCTGCTGAAGGGGAGACTTCGTGGGCATCGTCCGGGACCGCTTCAGATCCTTTTTGCTACGGCTCATGATAGATCCTGACAGAGGTGACGGTGCGCGGCCGGGGTTGGTGGACGGAAATAGGGACAGTCGTGGTGAGCCAGACGCTGGAGCGGGCGACGTCACCCTGCGCTGGAGATTGTAATCTACGGGACTTTCGTCCTTCTGATCGTCCTACTTTCACGTTAGCCCTAGTTGAAAATAGTCATACCTGCGGACACATACCTTTGCAGACAGCTCTAGCAGCGGCTTGATCTTCTCGGAGTTGCCTTGCCGTCTTGCCAAAAGGGATAATCGGTTCGGGTCGGACTGCAAGAGGTTTCCGAACATGACGCTGTATCTTTCCATTGTGATATCGGGAAGGCTGACGTCCAGAAGCGGCCCTCCATCATCTGCGGACCCGGTCGGATTCTGTGGTAGTGCTTTGTTGGTTGTGCCCGATACTTCAACCTGTGGCACAGGTGGGATCTCGCCTGCAACGCCTCGCGCTCCTAGAGCAGGTGTTGTGAAAGACCGTTGCATAGACTTCTTAGGCCCATGTGACGGCATATTTCCGAGCGTCATAGCACGATCTCGGGTCGCAGACGTCTCCGGTGGCGACTGAGGTGGGACGAACTCTCCTGGAGCCCATTTCCGCGATGCTCGGATATTCGGCCTATAGGTCGGCGGTGACACACTGCGCAACTTCTCCCTCTCCTTTTCTTCCGGTCGAGCTGCCTGGGACTCATTGGCTTCCTCGTCATGGTGGCTGTCTGCGCGAGGTGCCGCGGCAACGGTCTGCGCCAGCTGATAGAACGATGGCTTTTCTGGTTGAGGAGGAGGCGCTTTACGAAACAACGACTTCCATCGGCTGATTTTGGACTTGGGTGCCTCAACACGGCTGCTCAGCGAAGCCGAAGAGTCGTTGGGGTGGTTTAGTGTTGCCATTGGAGAATGGGCGGGTTTCGAGTCGGTTGTTGGTACCGCAGCCTCAGGCGTTGATTTCCAGTGTGAACCTGAGGTGGGTGACCCAAGAGCGATACCAATGACCCCTCGTTCTTTCGTGGCGTCTGGACTGTAGAGTACAGTTGTGGAAGTAGTAGGCGATTGGAACGAGTGGATATGGTCCTGAGAATAGATCGATGGTGCAAGATTTGTTTTCCTATGGAACATGAATGGACGCTCTCCAGGTCCACTCGATGTGCTTGGCCGCACTGCCGTGCCTGGGACTCCTAGATTTACTTCGGTGCTCAAATCGGAAGTGGAGGGCTTGTATTTGTCAACGCCTGTTTGAGAACCCTTAACAGGCGGCATTGAGGCCCCATTGTCTTGCTCCGTGGCGTCCCTGCGATTGTTTCTCAGAAACCTCAATGACTTCGACCTTGTAAGCATCCCGGGCATCTTGGGTTTCAAATTCGTTAGAGTAAAGGTATAGTGAGTATGAAGGAAAGACAGGAAGATATAGGCGTGGTTGTAAAGGAATGGACAGCTCTAGTGAGCCAAAGAAATGGAACAGGCCGCGACACAGTCGTGGAGAGGTTGAGAGAAGGAAGAGATGCAGAGAACGGCGGAATGTGCGCCAGTATCACCACCGGTCCGCCAGGAAACGAGCCTGGCGCCTCCACACTTCGCTGTCATCATACCAGCGGCAATCACTCATCCACTTTCGGGGCGTCTGGGAGAAATTGCAGAGTCGAGAACCCGCCCGTTGCGGAGCCAGGACCAGGGTAATGCGCTGCATGAGATCGGTGGTTCGATTGGCTCTGCGGCATGTCGCGCCAACGGGACCCATGGCATTTGGCAGGATCACCTCGTCTGCGCCGTGGCAGGGTGACGATACCGGGGGGAACAAGCGACAAATGCTGCAGGGTTGGGATGCACCAGCCTTGGCCAGGTGGTTTCAAGACGACGCTGGGCCGAGGAGCAATTTCGCGATCCGCCGCCAAGACGATCTGACCGACTTCACTGGCTGTGGTAAGATTATCAACCGTCAACGAGCCCGCCCACCGTGCAACGAGGCTACCTACAACAAAGCTGACGTCTGCTCTTGCAAGACGCAAGCTGAGGTGTACAGGCGGAACATGAGAAGCTGCGACACTGGGTCGCGCTGAAGCAGCAAGTCCTCGCCCACCTATGATCGCTGGGAAATGAGACCCCAACACATCATGTGTGGATACGGCGCGACGTTTCGGGCTTACTTACCCAAGATTGCGGACGAGGTGTCGCCACCTTCCTAATCAGACAGGCATGTATACGCGCGACAGATGATTGAAACGAGGCATGAACGGTCTGGCCTGCCTCAGGCACTCACGCGACCTTGTCTAGGCGACCAACACGCCCAGTATGCAAAACGCAATGCACCTGTGAACGCTCAATCCAGAGGACATACCGAAGGCGAGTATAAGCATTTTACTTGCCGCAACCCCACAGCTTGCTCGCCTAATGTGCCGATACACTCTGCATGCTCATTGTGCAGCTAATCGAACGACTTTCCTCCAACATCTCCAGCACACGTCGTGCGTGCCCACATCCACAAGTGCCGGATCAAATCCCCTGCGACATATAGAAGCAACCGATATACCGGTCTGGACATCCCTTACGAAGCTACGACATATCGATG